CACTTAATTTGGGGGCTACTATGGATACCTGTCTTCACTGAATGAATCTACTGCCTTTTCTTCCTGACACTCAAGAGACATTCATTGGCTTTGCCATTGTAGTGTCTGAAAATATTTGAACTCAGATTTGCAAACCTTGGCTGAACATTCCTATTGAAAATCCAGACATGATGAAATAGTCCCAAAGTTAGCCATGATGCCTGAGGAAGTAATGAAATGACTATAAATGATGTCAGCTTTGCAGTGATCAGACGTGTTCACAACTTTTGACATCTGGGGAAGAGAGTAAAAAGAGCTATGGCCTCGACTGGCTCCCACCAACCAGCTTGGCAGAAAGTCCAATTAGGGCTGCTCAGTGGTGTGGCTGCTACTCCCCCAGGAACAGGGCACTCAAAAGGCTCTATCCAGATGGTGTCTCCCTGGCTCTTCTGAACTGGAAACACCCACCCCCAAGCCACCATTGTGAATAGAATTGGGAGTTCCTTGCCCCTCAATTGCTATTCCAGACTCTCTTCCTGTGAGGGGCTGGGCTCCAGATCCTATTAGCGAGTCTGTGGTCTCCAGGCAGAGTTTCCACAGCTCCCCAGACAGCAGTGGTGTCTGCAAGACATGCCTTTGGTTCCCATCTTGGAGGGGCTCTCGTAAATTTCATGTCCTCAGGAACTGAGAGCAGCTTTGAAACTTCAGCTGCTGGTGAGTATGCAATACAAGGGCTGGCCCCCAAAAATGGAAAACCGGAACGTTTGCTTTTCCTATCAGCCCCAGCTAATCAGATGTGGTGCCTGGAGGAGGTGGTCGGGGACCAGCCCTGCCCTGTCCCGCCCGCCCCTGGCTGCCCTCACTCGCACTTGAGCTGAGGCCTTCTTTGGAAGGCCTTGGTGGCTTGCAGTGCCTGGCTTTCAGCAGGATTGTATTGTTGCTTTCAGTCTCTAAGCATTCCTTCCATCGCTTGATAGTTCCTTGAGTTTTCACAAAGAAAAAGAAAAAATAAAGAGGAAGGGAGAGAGAGAGAAAAGTAGGGAAAAAAGAAAAGGCAAAAGACTGGGAGACTGAATCTTTGTTAGGGAAGAGGTTGAGAATTTGGGGGTTTCTTTGTAACTTATATTTTTATAAAGTAACTAGAGGCAATTTTACTATTGAGGAGATAGTATCCAAAGTTACAGGGCAAATCTCTCCCCTTGGCCTGCTCTGCCTCAGTGTACAAGATGAGGTAAGGAAAGCAAATGCTAAATGGTAGCCTTTACCCCCTACCCTCACTAGCCTTTCCCAAGTTACTTGCTTCCAATGTCAATAAGAGCCATTTATTACTTTAATTATTACTATGCAGTAATGGTGATTTTCTTTGAATCCTGTTGTTGCCTAAAATAAATACCTTTATAAGCTCAAGCAAGAGCAACAGTTTCTTCCCCATTGCTTCTGGCATGCTTTTTTTTTTATTGGTCTGTTTTCTGTTGCTATCATAAAATAGCAGAGACTAGATACTTTATAAAGAAAAGAGTTCTGTTTGGCACATAGCTCTGGAGGTTCAAGAACTTAGCACCAGCATCTACTTACCTCTAGTGACAGTCTTTTGAATATATCACAATGAAGTCCATGTCATCATCTCACATGGTGAAACAGAAGTCAGAGAGATCTAGGGGCTAGGATTTCTCTTTTTATTACAGTGCACTCTTATAGGAAATAATTGGAGTCCAACCAAAATTGTATTAATCCCTTCTGAGGACAGTACCCTCAGTGACCTTAGCATTTCCACTAGGTCCCATCCCTTACAGGTGCCACCACCTCCCAACACAGCCTTGGACCTAGTTCTCTAGCATATAACCCTTTTGGAGACACACTCAAGCCCATCTACACTATAGCAACAGAGCTTTAGTAAAGTGCATTAGCATATAAGCTTACATGGCACCTTAGCAGTCCATGGTCCTCCTTTCTCTCTGTGAGTGATTCACCCTGAGGGGTCCCAGAGAGAGCAGATCAACGGCAGTGTGGTTCTCCCTTACAATATTGTGTGGCCGGTCCCTCCTTGATCACTTACTTCTAAAGTGTAAACTACATCCCCTGTATGAAAGCCTATAACAAGCCCCAAACCTGCCAGTATGTCTGTGGGAACAGGATGCATCCCGTGCATTCACTGTTGCATTTATCTGGAGGAGGAGCCAGGGCAGTACTCTGTGCAAAGTGTTTGAACTAAATGCTCCTTCGCAAGACATTTGTAATCTACAGGAAACATGCACAACAAAATGGAGACAGTAAGCTTATGTGTGTGTTCCTAGGCTTGGGTGTGGTATATACGTCCTTGCTAAATGTGCTTATATGTCCTTGCTAAACAGTGGATTGAGGGTAGGTTTTAGTCTTTAAAATGGTTATTGTGATATGTTACTATTTTCAAAAAGTTTCAAGAATTGTATTTTATAATTAGGGAAAAGGGTTTTTTTTTGTAATTTAACAATTGTGATAATCAGCTGGCACTGAGCTGTGCCCTTTGACTTGAGGTAGCCTGGTGCAGTCATGGGGGCTAAAAGCGTGTGTTGTTAGCATCAGGCTCCACACTTTCATCCCGCCTCTCATCCGGGCCTCTGACTGCATGGAACAAACCCACCTGTATTATCTACCATCACTGACTGCACATTGGAGTGTCTTCTTAGCCTGCATTCTTCTGGATTCTCAGCGCTGTCTGAAGGCCAGTGGACATTGCTAGGTGCTTCTGTGTGTGTGTGTCTTTGGGGCTATTGAGAGTGCCATCCACCACACTACATGAAATCCCCTTCAAATACACCCACAGAAGAAGAAAAGTTGCTCACTAACTACAGAACTGGGAAGAGCTGAGCGTGCACGGCTGGTGCATACCTAATGAACCAGGTACACTTGCTTAGACTTCTAGGAGGCATAAGCTACATTCACCACTCGGCTGCAGCACATGTGCATGGTTTTCTGATGCGTTTTGTAAATTAACCTGATACCTGACTACTTTGCTTTTTGCTACTCCTACCTTTATTTTCCTGTGTTCCATCTCTCCTCTCTCGTTGCCTGGCTCTATTTCTGTTTCTTCCTTTTTCTCCCGGCCCTCTTCCATCTCTCTCTCTTTCCCTTCCTTCCCTGTCTCAGCACCTCTTTCTCATTGGTACTCCCCATCTGTAACACCTATTTCTATAAATCCCCCAAGCCATTTGTGATGAGGTGCAAAGTACCCACTATTAGAGTAATTTTGGTAGAATCTCCTCACCAGGCAGTTTTGGTGAGCCAAGAGACACAGCCAGGATTTTCTTTGGTTTTTTTTTCCATTGACAGACATTATCACGAAGAATCTCTCAGCTGATTCAAGATGTTGGTATCACACTAACATTTCAGTGTTTGAGGAGCTGGCAGATGACCAGGCAGATGATCTGAAAAGGATCCCTTGCAGGGCCCCTGCTGTTTTATGTTTATGAGAGACTATTTTTCTCCTTTGTTGCCTGTGTGCCACAAACATTAGTGTCCATCAGAAACATCAACTGGCATTGAGCTCCCTTTTTTTAAGTCAGATCCGCACGGCAGATGCTACTGAATTCTCAGGCTCCCTCCAAAGATCCTAAATTAGTAGGTATGAAGTGGCCCCGGGACACTGGCTTTTTGACATGCTCTGGGATAGGAAGCTGTCGGTCAGTCCACAAACTGCACTTGCAGGAGCTGGGCTCAGAGCTCTGACAAGGGCCGTCTTCTAGTGCTTTGTGGTTGTTCAACACATTGACAATGGGGCTGTGATCCATATGCCTTGCTGTCAGGTGGCTTGAACCACCAGCAGTACTTGCATGACTGTCCCATAGGACAGTTTCTGAAATTATTTCTATTGGTGAAAAGATTGATAAAAGTGATTAAACCTGTTTGTACCACCGGTAGTACAAACCAAGCCACCTGATGGGACAGTCATGAATGTACCACCAGTGGCTCAAGCCAGTAGGAACATATTAAAAAGCCTTTCGTGGAGCTTATCAAAAGCCTTTTGGAATGTGTGTGTCAAATTGGATATGCTGGGCTGTGGCTCCTTCATGTCCTAATACTTGCTCCTTGACGGTCTCCATGAACACAGAGAAGTCAATGATGTGAACCCCAGAGACCCTTCCTGCCTCATTTAGCATCCCCAGCATGCACTGCTGAGAGAGAGTCGGGCTGTTCGTCTGCCCCTGACCCAAGCCTTGAGGTGAGGGCATCAGCTAAGGGCACTAAACCATAGCTGTTCAGAAGCTGCTGCCCTACAAAATCTTGCATCCAGGAGCCTGGGGCTGACGTCTCCTGGCTCCATGTTTCTTTGCTTGTCCTCATGTAGGGAAGTAACTGTCACTAAGGGCTAAAGGGGACATTTTGACTGCTAGTTACACTTCACTAACCTTGGAGTGGGAAAGAGCATCATGTTATAGGGCTTTTACATGGAGGCAGGGGATTGATTAACATCATAAGGTTATAAATGAGGCTACCGGGAACCAACAGTTGAATGGTTTCTACCAGTTTTATAGAGTGTACAACGTAAGCATGACCCAGTAAACCTCAGTAAACCTGCTACCCGCTTAGTGTGTGCCCTGCCCAGATTTCTTCGGCTCTAGATTTCATTTGCATTTTTCTTGTTGAACTCTACAGACCACACTGAAAACCCACTAATTTCCCCTGCAGTGTATTGTAAACATCTTTTCATCATTAACCATTCTGCCTCTCCACCAATTTACTGACTAGAGGCTCCCTTGTACCATTCTGGTGTTTTTGCTTTGAAAATAGATTTTTCTGAAGTCTATCTTCTTTAAAAAAAAAAGATCTCCATCACTTTGCAAAAGTGAAATCAAGAAAGCATATGATGGGAGTGAGGTGTCCTGCACTGAGGTTAGTCAGCGAGAGGTTCAGAGGGTTGCCCGGTAGAGACAGGAAGTGCCAGCCATCAGAGGTCCACCCTCCATGGTGGATGGGTTAAGGATCATGGGGACACCCGGAACAGCTATGCCCACATCTGAACCCCGTGTTTCTTCTCTCCCCAGCAGAACCACCCGTGGCTGCAGCAGTGCTATCACATTTTAACGACTGTCCTGATTCTCACACTCAGTTCTGCTTCCATGGAACCTGCAGGTTTTTGGTGCAGGAGGACAAGCCAGCGTGTGTGTAAGTGTCTATTAGTGTACTGGGCTTCTGGGGTGGGATTGTTCAGCACCTAATTCAAAGCGCATTTACTTCCACAAGGCTTGCTGGAGGCTCCCAGGAGCCCTGGAACTCAGCATGCTGGAGGATCAGAGCAGGGACAAGGGCACCTGCTTCAAATCTAGCTGGCTTAAAAACAAGGTTCCGGGCCCACAGAGGGAGAGCCCTGGAGAGACTGCAGCCTGGGCTGTGCGTGTTACCAGGCAGCTCAGGTGACTCCTGGATTCAGCCAAGTTGGAAAATTCCTGGATTAGAATGTAATTCACTATTTAGAGTTCTTAGAGGGCAAGACACTGGACTGAGTAATTTTAAATGACCAAGTGTCCTACAAGGGTCTCTCAACTCCAGCTGCTTTTCATAAAAGTACATATATAAGTGATCACAGAGTGAGGAGCAATATATAAATAAAGATTCTGGGTGTCTCTGGATTGCTTCCATGCCTAGCTGAGCTCATAGTCAGCCAGGCTATGAAGGAAGGCCCTCAAAGAAAGCTTCCCTGAGAAGGTAACAGGTTTGATGAGTGTGGCAAGCAGAAGACATGTTCCAGACCTGGAGTGCCGGGCTGGGGAGGGTGGCTGTTACAGATCAGGTGACTACAACGGGGAGACAGGAGATGAGGCTGGAGACCAGAGCCTTTCAGAAGTAAGCCTTTATCTTCCTAGTAGTGAAAGCTACATGTTTTGGAAAGAGATGTTTTGAGATCATCTAGGCATAGTTGAGTACTATTAGGTAGACCTATCCTTAGCCGTGGCACTGTGAATATTTGGAACTAGACGGTTCTTTAGGGGCTGATCTGGGCATTGATGTTAATTGTCTTCTACCCACTAGATGCCAGTATCACCATCTCTTCAGTTGTAAAAATTAAAACTGTCACTCCCCAGTTCATTTTTATAGGCTAAAAAACAGCAATGTCATACGGCCAAACGTAGTAGTACCACAAACAATACTACCTGTTAATAAAGACTCTTATTTATTGAGCTTTTGCTTCATGCCAGGTACTATCTGAAGCACAATTTGAGTGTTAACTCATTTAGTCTTCATAATGACCTCATGAGTTAGGCACAGAGAGGTTGGGTCGTGACCAGGTCACATAGCAGAGCTTAGACTCTCTGGCTCCTGACTCTGAGCTCTTGGGCATGAGGCCTAAGGGTGTTATATGCACTGGCTCAGAAGGAACTAGGACAGCCTGCTGTGGTCAGCAGTGGTGGGAGAGGTGCAGGATGTCTCTGAGCCTCACCTGGAGAGGAAAAGTGGAGACGCACTGGCCACCTTCCTCCGGTGAATGTCCACAGCTCTAAGGATTTCCCCAAATGAGGTGTTCCCTGCTCAGTAACACAAAGCACAGTGATGTTGATGATAGCAGACACTGTCATTATTCACAATGATCATGCCTATTAAAATGCACATTAGGTGCCGCTGGGGGACTGATGGGATTGTTTTCATTAGCACTCAGTCATTGTGGAAAAATACTGGGGCTGAAGGTGAGTTTGGCCTCTGAGCCCACATAAAGGAGAGCCTCCCTGGATACCAGACAGAAGGCCCTGTCCCTGCCAGCAGGGAGCCAAGCGTCCAACATGGGCCTCCCTGTGCACTAGGCTATATGTTAGAAGGTTTTCCACAGGTTTTCTTCCCACCAGACCAGGTGCTAGTGTAAACTTCCACAAGGCTGGCAGCCTCAGCCATCACATCAGCCAAGTGATGACTGTACCTGTGGCTGAAACCCTACTGGCCACCAGAAGCTTCTGAGGCTGGGAGTGAGTGACTGCTCTTCTGTCCTCCCAAGGACGATAATTGTCCATCAAAGTCACATACCATGACATCTTGGGAATCAGTATGATTGGCCATCTCTCTCCCCAGTTATATTATAACTATTATTAGAAACTGCAGTAAGCTTTCAATAAGAGCCATAGCTTATGCCAGGCATGGTACTCAGCACTCCACATACAATCTGTCATAGAATCCTTATGACTTCCCTTTCCAGTAGAAATCAGTGCCTTCACTGTAGGAGTGAAAAAATTGAGGCTCAAAGAAGGTGAGCAATTTGCTCAGAGCCCCAGAACTAAAAGGCAGCAAAGGTAAGATTCAGTCCAATCATCCTGGCCCCAAAACCCATACTCTTACCTACTGTCCAGAGAGTGCCCTGCGTCAGGTCTCAAAACTCACCTCAAATCACTACGCTCATTTTCCCCCAAGGAAGTTGATAAACCTTTCTCCATAAAAAGAATCAAGGTCATTCCCAAACTCAGGCCCCTGACCACAGGCTCTTAGCAAGTCCTTCCTGTGGGCCAACTGCACAAAACAAGAGACAGACGAAACATCCTGGCTACCTGGAAAAGCTGATCATCTGGGGAAGACATGGCAATGTGAACAATTACTACCTCTCCACTTAAGTTCTCCCACTGGATTTTGGCAGCCCAGGGACAGTGTTCAGCCCTCAGATGTGTTTTATGTGGCAGTAAGTGATGCTCCATATTGTGCGCTGATGGCTTTAATTAATTGTCAGCACTTTAGAAGTCAGGCCCCGCATATCCTTGCAAAATAAGCAGAAGAATGGGAGCACTGGCTGGGACTCAGGTGTGCCCACCACCACCACAGCCTTGGCTTGCCCTCTCCAGTCCCCTGTCCCCCATCCCTCTCCAATACTCTGCAACATCGTGACAAAATGCTGGTCCCCTCCACCTGCTTAGACCAGCCAACTTGGCTACCTTCAGTGGGCCCGTGACTGCTAAGAGCAGCAAGTATTCATCCCCAAAACAGGGTTATCTGAAGGCCCCTCCAACTCCCACACACATGGTGGTGGAGGTAGAGAATGACCTAGCATCCTCGCTGCTTAGCACGCTAAGGCTGCACAGCCCGGCGAGCCAAGCCTCAGCTCTGGGGCGGGCTGCATTTGCTCCCCTCACCTTCCTGCTGGTTCCTAAGCTCAGGAAGATAGGACCACACCTTTACCTTCTTGTATTTACAGTAACTAGAAGAATGTTCTAATTCATTCTCACTAGGCCAGAAACTCTGAGTCTATGCACAGCAAGCCAGAACATTCTGTCCTGCATGTTAAGAACCACCCAGCTTTGGGAAGCTGACACATACAGCATTCTGGTCAATAAAACTGACGTACCTTAAGGTACAGTTCTATCTATCATGACCTGATAAAGAACCCATAGTGAGCCAAGATCACAGCCTTGGAAGAGAGTTCTCTTTCTCAAATACTGCCATTCTTAAGAGTCTCTTTCCATGAGAATAATCTTGAGGTCTCCAGAAAACTGAAAATGACATTGTATACCATAAAGAGGGGGAACAACAATAAGAATTAAAACAAATAACTAGATAGTGAAATCATCACCAACCACTTCTGCTTCAGATGAGCCCTGGACTGTCCATCTGCACATTTATGGCTGCCTTTTCTAAGTCTCCACTTGGATCCAGCCATTATCAGAACACAGATGGGAGGAGAATGTGCCAGCACAGTAAGGCTATAGAATTGTGATGAGGCGGGGACACGGATTCTCCCGGAGGCAGATTCCTCAAACTGTTGGTCTACTGCCTGCAGAAACCTTCAAACAAAGGAAGCAAACCACCCAGGTGACAAATAGAAGGGTTCTCATGTCGGCAACCAGAGGCAACTAGTTTGAAGTTCCTCACCTGTCCAAAACACTCCCCAGTGACTGAGCACCCTGACAACTTTCCCACAGCAAAGTGTGAAAACACATTGCTATCAGCCAAGGAAAACATTCCACATGGCCCTGGCCACAGTCCATTGCAGTAGAATCTGAACAAACAGAGAAGCAGCCACATCAGTTACAGTCTCAGGCTGACTGAGACTCAGTTGGAGGGTTAGGAGTGGGGGGATGAGTTCCTGTGGGTACATGCGCCACTGAATATGGGTTTACTTTCATCTCAACAGCCAGCGGGTGGGGAAGGAGGGACTGATTGATGTGGCATCACGCACAACCACAGGTCTGGAGAAAGTGTGTGTCTCCAGACCTGCCTGGGTCTGCCTCCATCTAGAGCAGATAGGGTCACAAGTCAGGATAACGTAGTTAAAGGTGTGAATTTGGAAAGCCAGACCTGGGCTAAAATTCAGCTGAGTCTCTTATACAAATAACTTAGCCCCATTAAGCCTCAATTTCTTTGTGTACAAAATGGGAGTGCTAGCACTTTATAGGCTCGTAATGAGGACTCAGTGACAATAAACAGAGAAAGCAATGCTGTCCAGGACAAGGGCCATTAGACATGTGGGGCAGTTTATATTAATTGATTTAATTAAGATTTAGCTTCTTAGTTGCACTGGCCACGTTTTAAGCACTTAGCACCACCAGGTGGCCTGTAGCTCACATAAGGATGGTTTCTGTCATCATCACTAAAAGTTGTAGGAGGGAGCACTAGAGAACCCCAAGACCAGTTCCCACGACAGTGTCAAAGGAAGTGTTTGCTACCACAGCTGCCGTGGGCACAATTACTGGCCCATCAGCACCACTGTCCCGGTCACCGTGGCTCAGTGGTCCTGCAGAGGGTAAGGTGTGCCATGCAGTCCTTAGCCTGGAGCTGCAAAAGAAGCTCTGCTTCCACTCCCTTCTCCCCAGCTGCAGCCTAGAGAGATGATCACACTGGGTGAATCTAACTCTTGAGAGGTCAAGAACTGGTTGGCCCAACACAACATGTTCTTACACCCAGAGTGCCCACTTCCATCCTGGCTCTGTGGGATTGTTCGTGTTACAGGCAAGTTTGTATAAAGCTTATTTTTAAAATAGATAATGGATTGTTGTTATCTCTAAATTTAATCTTATCTGTAAAACATTTCTAAAACTATTTCAAACTTAAGTCCTGGACCCTCGCACTTTATCTGGGAACCGATATCAAAAGACTTGGCTAATAATCCGGGTGTTAGTCTCCAGCCTAAGAGTATATCACTACAAGTAAAGATAACATTTCAAGAGCACTAAAAATATCCACATCCGTTTCGCTACACTTATAGCACCTACGTAGCTCTTCTTTGTGTCGGGTACTGCTTACTGCACTGTGGAAGATACTAATTCATTTAATGCTCATAACTATGAGCTGGATCTTATTATTATTATATTTTAAAGATGCAGAATCTGTGGCACAGAGAAGTTAAGTAACTTGCTCCAGGCCATACAGGCTGTCTGTGCCATGTGGAGCCTACCTCTGGGACTCTGTCCTTGGGACATAATCTCAAACACAAACAAAGACATGTGCACAAAGTTAATATCTGGCATTACTTATATCACAGCTGTTTATGGTCTGAATGGTAAGAACTTGGTAAAGTAACTGAAGTACATAAATTAGTGTGCAACTGTTTAAAATGACTTTTACAGAGTCTTTAATGGGATCGTAAAATAGTGAAGAGATCTTTTATGAGAAGTTGGTACAAAATTGTAAAAAATAACTATGTTTAAAACTACATAGAACCAGTATGGAAGGGAAGTGTTTGGACTGCCACTTGGAGTCGGAGAGCAATGATTTGAGCTTCTTTTTTTCTTTTTCTTTCTGACGTATTTACTTTCCAGTTTGCTTAGAAGCATTCATTTTCTAGTTGGGGAAAATCTGTCTTAAGGCAAAAGCAAAGTGCAGAACACAGCTCTACATGCACGACTGTATTTCTCAGCATTTGAAAAAGGCACCATAAACCAAGTGAAATGGAAGACTTAGGGAAGACTCAAAAGCTCTCCACAGGAGAGAAAGGTGTCTTCTAGGCAGTTAAATTTTTAATGTTAAAATAGGCCTATAGCTGCAGTGTTTGCACCTAAGAATGATGCGCACACAACCTTCAGACTTAATCAGCAAAGAAGTGAAAAGCCTCCAGGGCCCGCTGGCCGAAGCACTTGCCTTTTAAAATCCCCGGCCTCCCTGGGTCCTTTTGCAGCTCTTGACCCTTCCTTTTCTTCCTCTTGTACTGTTTCTTCTTTGTCCTATTGTGGGGCATCAACCTGAATGTGGTTCTGGAGCCTCAGTTTCAGAATTACAAAGGCAAGACAGCGTGGCAGACCCTTGTGTTAGACAAATGACTGTCATGGGCCCTCCAAACCCTCTCTAGACATGAAATGGAATGGTCAGTGATACATGAAAATGTTCAGTAACAAGCTCCCATTCCCCCTTTGAAAAGTAGCTGCTATTTGTTCAGACTTCTTTCTTAAATTGAGGGGAAGCAACAGCTCCCATTTCTCTAGCATCCGATGTGCAAGGCCTATTTTATAACCACTACCCGGGGAAAATATTGAGGTGAGGGAGGAGAAAGAGGAATCGGCAGATTTGAGACTTGCTGGCTCTGAGTTCTGTGCTCTTGGATGGTAGTGCCGCCCCTGCAGCTTTCAGGCCTGGCTGCCTGCTAGTAAGTGCCTGGTGCCCAGATCAATTAGGTGAGCATACTCAGGGGTGTGGCCTTGGGCCTGGCTGTTTCCAGAGCTTCCTGGGTGATTCCAGTGTGCAGCTGGGTAAGAACCGGTGCCTGACTCAGGTAAAGGAGAGGACGGTACTGAGTCATATGTGACTCATTTGTAGCCAGGTAAAGTGCCTCTTCTTCCTCTTTGGGTAACTCGTACCTAAAATAATCAACATCATTAAACCTACTATTAGTAGAAGCTTGGGAACTTTTTTAAAGAAAAGATATCATCAAACCCTTTTTCTTTCCTCCCCATAAAGAGCAACGAAGTAGGATATTTTGTAGCACCAGGCCCTGCCCTGCAGGAAGGAACCAGGAGAGTGGGAAGAGAGGAGACAGATATGGTCATGTGGGGGTTCAAAGATGGACAGGGAAAAGCCGTTGAAGGAGCTATGGGAAAATGAATGGATTGGTGACTGGACAGAGAAATGAGTGTGTAAGTACACATTTTTGAAGAATGTGGTCTTGAAGTGGAGTCTGAGGAGAAGTATAGTAAGGCCAAGAGAAAACAGGAGCTGAGAGGGGCAAGTGTGGACAACCCCTCATTCGTTCTGCGGGCGCAGAACGTCCTGGGTGCCTGTGTGCTGGGCATGTGTTAGGTGCAGCACTTAGGCTTAGTACTGAGCTTGCTGGGTATGGAGTGACATAACTTGGTGGAGGATAAAGCAGAGAGGAGATTAGGTTCCTGCAGAGAGGGTGTGTCATACAGAGGAAACTCACAACTCAGGCCTGGCTCTGGAAGGCAGAGTATTGTCAGTGCAGGTTAAAACCCCGGGGATGGGCTGGAGGGACACTTGCCCAGTGTTAGACACTGACAGCTTAGAAGTCTGTGTGCCTGGGCCAATTGCTAATCACCTCCCTGCTGCCTGAGTCAGGTCTGCTGTCACTTTCTCCTGAGAGGCCAAAGGCCATCATGCCAACTGGATGACCTGTTTCTCTACTTTTGCCTTTAGGAAGTTTTATTAAAATTACACCAAACCAAACGAGCAATACAAATGGGTCACACACCTGTAATCCTAGCTACTCAAGACACGGCAGTAGGAAGATTACAAATTCAAGACCAGCTTGGGCAATTTAGACTTTGTATCAAAATTAAAAAAAACAAAAGGACTAGAAAACAGGTCAGCACTTGCTGGATATAATCCCCAGAACTATGAGGTAAATAAAAACAAGAAACACCTGCCCCTATCTTATTGTTCTGAGCTGTGAGAGTGAGTTTGTGTTGTTATTCAGATTTTGGTGATCTAAATTCTTCTTCAGCAGAAGCCTTCTACTAGACGCCCACCACCTACCCCCTCCCCTCCATGGTCCAGGCCCTGTCCTCCATAGCCTTTCCATAGAGAACCATCCAGGCCATTTTCCACCCCACTTGAGCCCTCTCAGCTTCCTTACTTCCTGAACACTGCAAACCCTGTGTACCTTGCTTAGTTAAAACTCTCAAATGTCTTTGCCCTTTCAAGAGTGGAGGCTAAACCAAAAGCCAAATTTGATCAAGAGTTTGCTCTTCAAGCTCCCAGCCCAGTCTTGACCTACCATGTGGTCACAGCAGCCCAGTGAGTGGGAGTGAGCCCAGACGCAGCAGACCTGGTCCAAACCCTTCTAAGTCCCTAGAAGGACAAGCACAAGGCAGACAAAGACTTGATTTTTCATGCAGTGACTAAATGAGAAAGCATACATCAAATATAAAACCCTTTACCAAAAGCAAGTGCATGAATTTAAAATAACAACTACATTTAAATAAGATAGAGAAGGCTTGTACACCTCTTATATCCCAATCTGTGATCTCTAGCAAGTGGCTTCAAGCACTTTTGTTGTTTCTAGGACCCAGTGGTCTAGTACTAACACAAGTATGATGGCCCTGTGGCCGGCCTGGCACAGAGGCAGGTGCCCAGGACTGTCCATTCCCTTTAGTTTTTCTTGTTCTTCAAAGGTCTTTTAATCCATAAGTGACACTTACAGTTGGCTAATCAAAAGATAAAATGTTTAAAGACAAAAGTTACTTTTCATTGCCATATAGAGGAGAGACAAAACTTCCAAGTCCAGCCTGGAATATGGGGCTGCCCCTCAAGAAAGCCCCTAAAAGTGACAAGGAAATATTTTCAGTAACAATAAAAAGGGACCAGTGTGTAAGCCAACTATCATCTGTTGAAAAGAATCATGTGCTTAGGGCTAGGGATATAACTCAGTGGCATAGCACCTGTCTGGCAAGTGTGAGGTCGTGAGTTCGATTCCTGATACCAAAAAATTAAAAGTAAAATAAAAAAAACTATAAGAATCATGTGTTTGGAGTAGGGGGAAGATGCCTGTAGAAGGAGATGCTCAGCATTTTATCATGGCTGGGACACATCCTGGAGAATCAGCAGGTGAAAAGTCACTCTGCATGGCAGGGAGCCATATTGCTGTGAGTGAAACCAGAGAAACTCAGAGTGGCGTTATTAACATTGCTGACAACACATGCACCAGCACACATGTGGACTACACGCACATGCATGCATGACCTTGCTGGTGTCCTCACTAACCCTGTAGAAGAGGGGCTGTTGAATGTGATGTCACCAAGATTCCAGTCCTGCGGTGACAAGGCAGTAGTCCTGGGTCCTTTACCCATTACCCCTGCCCAGGTTATACCCTACTCGGGATATTCCCTGCATACTTGGATACTTGCAGGACTAACTAAGCTTGATGAGGAATGTTAACAAAAAAAAGCTAAGAACGTCCTGTGTCTTACTACTATAGCATGTTTACTCCCATCAGAAATTTTCAATATACTACATTTGGCTTGAAAATAACCTGGAACTTTATGAACTGCCAAAATGAAGGTTTTTGTCATAGACACCTTTGCTGCAATTATTCCCTGCAAGAATTGGCAGAGTAATCACGAAGTGATTCACAGCACCCTTCATCCCCAGGGAAATTGGTTTCCTTCCTCTCTGCAAGCAGTGCCTGTGGCAGGGGAGGGGGATTATTTTACAACGTTGTCTGCCTTAGCAGGGGCTGGACGGGCTCTGACTCCCCATGGCCTGGCCCTCGATGAACAGAGGAAAAGACCTTGTTTTGGGAGCACACTGACATTCCTTTCTTCCCAGCTGCCATTCTGGGTACGTCGGTGCACGCTGTGAACACGCAGATCTCCTGGCCGTGGTGGCCGCCAGTCAGAAGAAGCAGGCCATCACCGCCTTGGTGGTGGTCTCCGTCGTGGCCCTGGCTGTCCTCATCATCGCATGTGTGCTGATACAGTGAGTATTTGCTGCCCCTCAGGTCAGATGATCTGCCCGCCTGCCCCAGCAGGGACATGGGCAGCAGGCCCTCATACCAGAGCCATCTCAGCATGGCTGGTGGCTGTGAAGTGTGAACAGTGTCAGCAAAGCTAAGAGGAACTTTGATGACTCTTGGCACAGTGTAGCAGCCAAGCTGTGTCAAGGCCTGGTGCATCCTGGACAGGGCCCCACCCGTGGGTGTGTACACTCCTGGAAGCCACTGTCAAACCGAAGGCATGCGCCCCCTCCGCAGTTGGGCTTAGAAGCTTCAAAATAGTGATGAAATGGGCTGGTATTCCAGACACAACTGCAGACAGCTCCCAGCCTCCTTTGGACAGTAGCAGAAGCACTTTTATCTGCAGAAGGAATTTTGTACGTTCTAAAGTCACATCAAGGACCCCTGCTAGGGACCTATTAGCACCACTCTGCATGGAATTTCCTCTCTCTCTGCTACTCTGCTGTCCTTTATCCCCCAAAATCCATCTACTGTGTTGTATCCTCCAGGAAGCTGTTCTGAGTCTCAGACCAAGGAAGACCTTTTCAGGAGGGTCTTAGCCCATTTCCATCTTGCCTCATGTCTACTAGCATTATGCAGTGTCAGAGCCTCTGGGAAGACAGTGTTGTGTTCCTAGCACCAGGATAGATTTATCCCCTGGAGACATCTAGAGTCCATGTCACGGAGAGACTCCCAGAGGGTTTATTCCTCACTGGACAAGTACAAGGCATCCATAGGTCAGCTAAAGGCCATCGGTCAGCTCAGTGAAGGTCAAATCAGTAGAGAGGATAAGTGGATGGCTGGACTAAGTAGTTAAATGCCAACGCCAGAAGCCAGGCTTTAGCCCTTTGGGGTTGTCTAGGTTCACACAGACAAATGAAAGGCCGTCCTGTTGGTTTGTCAGTCCCTGTTATGGAGACATCTAAAGCACACACTACTGGTTCTGACGAAAACTTAAGTGCTGCTTAGAACCCTAGCCGTGACAGTAGTCACAGCTTCTCTTGGACCAAGCCAACACTAAGTGGGAAGGGTTGAGGTTGGAACCAGGAGACATTTTCTTCCTCCTTAAGTGAGTTCCACCCCACTTGCAGGCACCTTAGGAAAGCGTGTTTGCAGGGATTGGAAAAGCAGTGTTGGCTCAGGCTGGGGCACAGTCCCAGCTCTGCCCCCTCACAGAGACCTTTTCTGAGAGAATGGAATCCACCTACAGGGCCATTGGCCTCACTTATGATGGCCAGGTAACTTTATGTACTCACCTGCACTTCTGTGGCACTATTTTTCATAACCAAGGGGGTCCCAGATCCTCAAAAACAAGGCTGGGGACCACTTGGACCTCCTCAAAAGGACTTGAAAGTTAATTTTGCCAGGCACAATCTAGATGCCTGGACAACAGCATCTCTTATTCCTCAGAAAGCAGTCAGTCCAGCTTCTCCTCTTGCGCCTGCCAGACTAAGCCTCTTCAGGCTGCTGGTTGCTGGGCATGGGGCCCTGCTGAGTTGCACAGTCTAGGATGGCACCAGCTCCTCTCATGCCAGAGGGATCTACAGGCCTTGACTCCAATGTCCTTGGACACTCCTGGCTGAGAAGTGACCAGGGCATGCCTACCTGGCTAGTGGCTACAAGAAAGTGTTGTTGATGGGTCTGGAATTAAGATCTTTCGATTCTTCTAGTGTGGGATAAGCAGGTCCCAGCCCAAACTCTGTAAGTTAGGAGGGCCCCAGGTCCTAGTAGACCCAACAGCTTTAGCCTCTCATTCTGTACCTGTGACTGAGCAGGTTAGACAAGAAGATCTCAGGATCCCTTCTCAGCACTGCTGCCCAAAGATTCAAAGGCTTAGTAACTTTTCAAGCTCCATGTGTCAGGGTAGGGTGGAAAATGAGGAGTTGGGGTAGAGACCATGAATGCTACCTAGCACCAGGAGAGGCATAGCCCTTAGCTTGTCTTTGGACCTGGACTGTGGCTGCAACAGATATACATATGTTAAGGTTTGAATGAGTGGGAATGACGTCTTTCCTGATATCAGCTGCAATTGTCTCCAGGTGGTTAATGTTTCTTAGTTCTTCTTTTGGGTTCTGTGGTTGTTTTTCCTAACTGAAAACTGCTCATTGCTGCCCAGAGGGGAACAGGAATCCTCTTAATCCTGTCACTTCCCAACTCCAGGTAACATAAGATTAGCAAAACTCAGTTCAGTCCTCAAAACAGGATTCAGAACCCTTGTGTTGACTCATTCTTGTGTGAATGAACTCAGCACATCCAACTTTTCTCCCCTGCAGGCTGATACCTGATGAATGAACTCTTGATTCCTCACAGCCCCACACAACCAGAGGGAGCTGCTTAGTTTCAGTCCTCGTAGTTGTTAAGACTATGTTTGCATTTCTAGAGTTATGAACTGGTTCTTGATAGAAAAGGAGGTGGGTGGGTGGCCAGTCCCCTCTCTCAGCCAGGGAAGCAGAAACCAGGTGACTTAGTAACTCTAGAGTAAAAATGGTGCTGGTACTTTAGAGCACCAACAGGTGCTATTGTTGGTGGCCAGAATCTGCCCCAAAGGGCCACTCCTCTGCAAGGACCTCAGCTACAAACCTGAGAGGCCCTGTGGAAAGGCTGCTTGGGACACCAGAGCCACCCAGACAGGACTTCCTGCCAGGCTGCCCTGCCCTGCTCCATCTCAGATGGTCTTCCCTGGGTCTTTACAGCTGCTGCCAGGTCCGGAAGCACTGTGAGTGGTGCCGTGCTCTCATCTGCAGGCATGAGAAACCCAGCGCCCTGCTGAAGGGAAGAACCTCCTGCTGCCACTCAGAAACAGGTAAGTGTGGCTTCAAAGTGCTAGGAGCCTTTTCTTCCTTGGAAGGCAGTACTGGGTAGAGAAAATGAGCCCCTCCTCCAAGACAGGGCCCAAGTTCCAGGACAATGAGGCCAGAAGGAGAAGAAAAGGAGAGGTGGTTTTATTCTACCAGGTCAGGTTTGACTCATCCTAAGATGTAGAAGGGAGTTGTTTTCTTCTTGCTGATGGCTGTATGACCTTTGACACTTCACTTAACATCATACTCGGTTTTCTTTTTAAATGATTATGTTCAAATCAGATGAGTACTGGCATAACACACGTAGCATAGTGCAATGATGGTGAACGTTGTAAAGCTTTCAGTGATAACAAGCAGCCCACTGCAGCCTGTGTGGCATAGGTCTGCCACCACTGGGGTAGTGTATCCCAGATTGTAGAAAGATACTCGCTGTCTTCCCTGAAGAAAGACATGTCCCCTTTTCCATTGGTCAGTGGAAGAGTTTGGCTTATAAAAGACCTCTACGAACCCTCAAGGATTTTAGATCCAATGATTTTCATTAAGTTTAACATTGTTTTATGAATTTCACCAAGATCCGTGAAGGAGATGGACATCTGGATATAGAACCAAACTGGCAGCTTTGAAATCAGTGAATACTGGGCCCCAGAGCTGAATAATCCCTTTATCTGAAAAATCTCACCCATATCAACAAGCTATCCTGGGATATACTTTTGTCCAAGAGAACCCATCATAACTTAAATTTTCTTTTGAGGAAGTATAGGATCAGGAGACAATCACCGAAGGCTAACCTACCTGAATTAGGCAGGAGCTGGCATCCAGAAGCTCTATACTGCTTGGAGAGAAGAGGGAGATCTGTGACTGGGAGGCCAGATACTCCTGTGGGGTTACTTAATCATTGTGGTGATCTGCTTGTAGGGAGCTGGAGGTCTAACAGCACCATTTGTTTATGTGTTTCAAGAATGACAGTGGTTGGACAAAAGCACTACTTTAGATTTAGGAAGCCCACAGCTCTTAGAACAGGCACCCATTATGACCCATTATGAAGGCCGTAAGGGGAGGATGATTCTTGAGTGATGCGGGTAAATAGCTGCCTAAAGGTTTGCTCGGGTCCCACTATGAGTTGATAGGGAGAAAAGGATGAGAAACAGAACCTCAGAAGGCCCCACTTTTCTCTTTTGCTACCTTGAAGGATCCGGTATAAAGCTAACAAAGATAAACATTTTTTCTGTTATCACCAGGAGAAAACTATTTAAATATTTTAACAAAGTCTGTACCAAAGCATTTGTCTGAATCTCAGCAGAATCACTTGGGTGAAATTTTTTGTTAATGTCACTTCTATCCCCATACTGAGAAGTTGACTTCGAGAGGGAATGGGTCTGGCCTTGCCAAGATGACCACCAAGACTGTACCCCCTCTCCCTGAGATGATGCATGCCTGCTACAGCCTCACAGACTGCCAGGAAGGCCTGCCAGGCCTAAAGGATGGGTGAACTAGTGTTCATTCATGAGCCCTGACAGAGATGTAATTCCCCCCTGGGCCTCTCCACACCTCAGAGGAACTATGGCCAGGATCAAAGCAGACACATGTCCTGGCTGAGCTTGACTCAGGAGCTAAGAATTATGTCCATGCTGCCTTAACATTTAAGCCACAAGGAGCCCCTGAGGGCTCACTTACTGAAAAATAATTGGTCCAGTCTTATAACAGCCTTAGGAGAAGCTGTGCTAATACCAAGCCCTAGACCAACTCCTGAGCTGCCCACAGCCACGCTTTGCAGGGAGATCTGGTCATAAGCGAGGTTGACACCTGGCTACAACAGGGTGCATCCTCCCTCCTCATCCCTCTTTTCCTCTATAGCCTCTTTTACTTTTCATCAGCCTTCTGGTGTCCTCTGGCACTGACCCTACAATTGGCAGAAGTTCCTGCCTCTGAGGTTGCACAAGCAGAATTGGAATTTGGGTGTAACTGCCCAAAAGAAACTGGTGATATTGGCTGATGCCATCTCCAAATCTTTGTCCCAAGCTCTTTTACCCAGCGTGGCAGGAGTCCGGCCTACAATACCTAACCAGTTTTTCTTTTCTCCCAGTGGTCTGAAGAGCCAGAGGACGAATCGGCCAGGTAGACCATGGCAGCCAATGAAGCAAGGCCTTCTTTAGGAAAGCACCACCAGGATGCCCAGGACGGGCCAGCAGACCTTTCCTCAGCTGCCCATCCTCACCTTGCAGCATTTCGTCTTGTGTGGGCCTTCAGAACTTTGTCAGAATTCTGTCTGCTTGGGGTTATCTGGTGTGCGCTAGAGAAGACATCCACGGACCACAATCTGAAGACTGGTAGAACAGGAACTGCGAAGGGGTGGCCTTCCTGTTAGCCTTCGTCAGGTGTGTCGGGCGGTATCTGAGTTCGGGTGTGTGCAGTTGCCTCCTGCCAGCCGTGGATCCAGGCTATATTTCTTCTTGATAGGCCACCTCCCCACGAAAGAATCCTGCCTAATTCCAGAGATTCTGTAGTTGTTGCTGTTTTGTCTCATCTGTTTATCAGTGTCGGAAGCAAAGAAGGAAAAATGGCTTATTGCTACATGAAGTCATTGAGTGTCGAAGGAGCCCTGTCCTCAGACCACCAGACCCTCAACAAACCTGACATCTTCCATGGACACGCGACGTTGAAGACCTCCCACGTTGTTGCCACCTTCAAAGACAATTTCTTATTTATTAGATGGATAATGGTTTTATTTTTAATCCTTTAAGTCAATGTAAAAAGCACACACCCCTTCCGACATATACTCTGATGATGTATGTGTTGCTGGCTGAAAACTTGGACTGATTAGAAACGACTGGCTTGTTTAAGACAGCTAAGACTAGAGGCCATGGGAATGGAACCGAAAGGTGGTTCCGATAGGAGCAGGGATCAGAGCTTGGAGGTCATGCCATCAAAAACACAAAGCAAGTGAATGCCCTGATACATTCTGCTAGAAAAAAACACAACGCATACTCTACTGCTTGGTAACTAAAGGATTAACTTCCTTGTGACCCAGCCTGGGCATTAGCAGCCAGCCATGGGCATTTCAGGCTGAATCTATGAAAGGGGACCAATTCTCTGTTTCCATTTTGTTGCTTGGTTGGTTATTGCTTTATTTTTAAAGGAGAAATTCAAGTTTCCTATTTATTTTTAAGTGTTAAGAGAACTATTCCAGTGGGGTGTTTTTTTTTTTTCCTTTTCATTCATAATGCTGGTTTTATGAACAAAAACACTAACAAGCCGCTCACTTTTCCCTCAGAAGGAGTAGAAATTGTTCTCCTGAGCACTTGAGAACACTCTAACCTGCTGGGCCAGCCTGTGGAAAGCAGTGGGTCCCTCCAAATGATCAGCTGGGAGTTCAACCTCCAGAACTTTCATTAAAAGTTGGAAGCAGAATGGCAGTGAAATAATATATAAAATATTTATGTGAAGAAACTACTCACTAATATTTGAGAAGTGAAAGACTTCCACCTTGTAGCCCTTCTGTGTGTCTAATTTATCATGCCTTGGAAGGGTATTTGACATGTCAAGTTGACTTTTACTGGAAAATGTTGTCATGCCCCTAATTTGTCTTCCCTAATCTATTTCTATGAATTTCTAGTTTTTACAACTAAGGCTGTGATTTCACCTGTGGCTTAGCTTTGGCATTTATTCAGTGGTGCCAAACCAGAAGTATCAAATGCAAAAATTGGGTCTGTTCAGCCCCAGCCCCTAACAATGCAGCTGACATAGCTCCAGGTTTTTAAACTATTAAAGAAAATAGGTGCAAGTTTGGACACCTTAGGTCAATCCTGTAGCAGCAGGTATTTGAGCCGAGGCTTGGCTAAAGTCTCTTGCTCCGGTACCAATCAGTTGACACTGGTTTTAGACACTAGTATGCAGTCAGCTTTCTTATCAGAGCCCCCTAAAGTCACAGATTCTGCCTTAGGCCAGTGAAAGTGGAGGAGCATCACTTGTTTTTAACTTGAATTTATCTTTTTTTCTTTAAGACAATCTTTTCTGGCTTCAGATGCCTACAGAGGTCTGACTGCTTTTAAGAGTGTAAATTGATATGAAAATGTGTTGTGGGGCTTTCTTCACCGCGTGGATAGAAGATCTGCATCCACCTAAAAATGTTATCTGTAATTGGCATCCAAGAAACTTCGCATAGGTGCAAGAAAATCAAACTGGACAGATGGTAGAAGCAAAGGTTCCCTGTGAGGACCCCAGATTTAGTGTCTGCGAATTCTTTGGTTCTGGGGTTCAGCTGCTTGCAGCTGTTGGGGTCCCTTCCCTTGTGTCTGTATATTCACTGAACCCAAATGTTTGCCCTTTAGAAGTACCATCTGGATTAATCCTTGCAGACCAGCAGGTCTGAAGCTGGGTTGAGGTGGACTTGGTTGAATCATTGTCCATGACTAAAGATATAATAGCCTTATTTTTTATAATTTCTCTTATGGAAATCAAATGAAGACAAGCACTGGTTATAAAAATGCTCTTTTTAGGCTTAAAGTGCATCTTGTAATCCATCTCTGCAAAATCTGTGTTTCCTTGCCCTTTAGATAAAGTGTTTCCTGATTAGGGAACTGTTCCAGGGACCTGACCTGCTAAGCAGTGAGGCAGTGGATAATGTAACAATTTCCAGAATGTAAGTGTCCCACAAAAGACCCCATTTGAAAAATGACTTTTCATGAAGACCTCTAAGCCTTTAATAGGGCCTGCATCTCTCCCCTGCCTTACAGGATGTAACACTAAACATACTGACAGGAAACTTTCTACATAGAATGATGTAAGCAGCCAAATGCAACCTGCAAGATAGGGCCCAGCTAGATACATGTGAAAAATCAGGGAGTGAGTTGATCATGTGTCCCAGCAGAAGTGGGTACAGTGGCCCTAAGATCCTTTTTCCTGAGCAAGGACAAGGGAGGGATTGACACTCACCCATGCACATGGATGAGGGAGAAAGATTTGTGATTTTAGAACTTCTTGGGAAGAAATGTTCTTTGCAAGTATAAAAAACTTCCCAGTGTCTCCAAGCCAGTTTCTCAAAGCATGTAAGCTATTGGTGTTTTTCCAGGCAACTTGGCAAGGGATAGACCAGCGATGCTCTAACACTACTCAGGAGGCCTCAACTCCTTAGTAGGTTCTAGGCTTCCTGCTCACCCAGCATGCTCAGCCAAGGGGAGAGAAATGATTGAAAACCCCAGGACCAGGGTACTTCACAAAAACATGTGTTTGTTTTCAGTGTTTTAACGTAAGACGTGTTCTCTGTAGCCACTGATCTTACCAAACTTTTTGAACGATCTGGTAATATACATGCGCGCGCGCACACACACACACACACACACGGAGTACTGAAAAGCAACCCCTCTTCCTACTGTAATAACTTACCAAAATGTTCAACTTTTCATTACCTTTATTATATAAACCTGATGCTTTTTTTAGAACTTATTACTCTGACTTCTGTATATGTTGCACTGAAGTTAATATTTAATGTCTTAATTTATTTTGTGTGGTAAGTTAATTTTGATTTCTGTAATGTGTTAATGTGATTAGCAGCTATTTTCCTTAATATCTGAATTATACTTAAAGAATAGTGAGCAATATAAGATGCAGTCTTTTTCAGAAATACGCGTTGCTGTTCAGTTGTACTGTACCTTGTTTGGAAGGATGAAGGAATGAATTCTTTTTTTTCCTAAATCAAGACTGGAGTTTTTCTTTAATGTAATTAGAATATGGCCGAAACCGATGAATTTTTTCTCTGTGCATTTGTAAAAAATGTAGATAATCTTTTGTAAAATGTGGGAATCCTAAACTTAACCATAGTTGGCTGCTGCCTACTTGAAGAGGTCAAGTTCTCTAGAGTTCTGCCCACTCTTTAAGTATTTAACCTGCTGTATGTTCAACAATTCTAACTGGTGTGTAAGAAAAAAGACAACATACGATCCCTGCCCCCAAAGGAATCAAGATCTGATTAGGAAGAAAGACTGACATGCAGAAAATAATTCTGGACTATTTCTCAGCAAAATTCAAATCATGAAATTTTAAGGTAGAGAGTATATATTAATCTCTGTGATTCGCAAAAGCATATGGTCCCAAATTGGCAGCATCAGTAACCTAGAAATTGCTAGAAATGCAGACCTTCAGGTCCAGACCTATCAGACTCTTAAAAGAGTAGCCCTCTAGGTGATTCTGATAATGCTCAAATTTGGGAACCATTGTGCTGTAGGGCCCAATGAAGGGACAATCTTTGGTGGAGGGCCATGTTTTTAGGAAAAGCTTTAGGGAATCTTTGCAGAGAAAGTAAAGCAGTTTATCCCTTAGGGTTCCAATGTAATAGCCATCTGAGAGTGATGGCTGCGTTTATCTGAATCTTCTCTGCTCCACTTAGGAGAAGGGATAGATAGATAGATAGATAGATAGATAGATAGATAGATAGATAGATGGGCCTACCCATCTCCTGTCATATCCCAGACACGCCTGATCCCCACTGCCCAGTCTATATCTCTAAGCAATTGCCCTAAACCTGTCAGCCCAGTTCCTGGAAACCCATGGTAAATCTTTCTCACCCATGCGTGGGCCTCACATGTGCAACAGACAAGAAGCTCATGGAAAAATAGAGGGTGAAGCGGTGGATATTTGTGGTCCCCAAAGAAGGGTCAAGCTCTTTATAATGAGATATGAGCATGTGGAGCCCATTGTGCAGACCGTAGAGGCCTTAGGGTCAGCCTAATCTACAGAAAGAATGTCCGACTTCTCTGGCCTGCTTCTGTCCTTCAGGAAAACCTTTTCTGACTTGTGGCATTCTCTACCAGTCCCCACACCACTCCCATTTGTTCCAGCTCCTTGATTTCTAGAGCCTTCTCTTGCTGCCTGCCTGCCTGCCAGAACCTGTGTCCAGTGTCTTTCTTGGTCCTAGGTGGTACACTGGACTGTTTGAAGTGAGAACCCATTCTAAGAAAAAGCACCTATGACCACTGAGCACTTTGGATCTTTGAATATTGAGTAAAGCCAGATCTTTCCCCATTTATCAGATGGCTTGCAGTAGACAAATGGAGTCTATGTTTTAGACTGTTTGGGTCCAGTTTTTTTTAATCTAATTGGCCCATGCTTCAAATCCCCATTTTTCCTGACTCTGTGCCTTGGGTCCTTCCTGGCCCAGTGTCAGAACACATGGCTTTGACTGCAGCCTTCCCTCCTCTCTAGCTCATGGATCCTTGCTCTTCAGACACCTGGAATTCCAGTGCCAGCACTCTTCCCTGCCTCCTGAAATGCATGTTTCTCCTAAAACCTCCCTTTTGCATTTGCTGTCTGCAGGACTTGCTACTCACAGAAGGCCCTGAGGTCTCTATCACAGTCTTTTCACCTCCAAAAATAAAGTAACGTGTTCATTGTCACAGACACTGGGTCTCGAGATGCCTGTTCTATTCACATAGTCTCTTCTTTTCAAGGTCAACAAAGAATTCAAATCCATGGGGCTGGATTTTGGGCATCTTTTAAAATCTCGCCAAGTAATTCTAATCCAATCTGTGTTGCCCTCAAGCACACCAAGCCCCAGGAAACAGGTGGCATGGGAGAGGTGTGATGCCTGGAGTTCAGAGTGCCTGGTACGCACCCTGGACATTCCATCCTGGTCCAGCCTTAGTGTGTTCTTTAATATCCACCAGATGTTATCCCCTGAGGAAACACAGCGGCCTCAACCTGCTTTCAAGCAGGTTGGCTAAGACAGAGAAATAAGACAACTCACGAGGTCCTCTAAGTGCCACGTGGCTGGTACTTGAGTCATGCCATGGGCACCACTGCTTTGCACTTAGGCATTAAAAGTATAGTGAATGTTTACACTGAAAGGGAAACAGTGTTGGGGCTGCTCTCTTCAGGGACAGTGGGTGCTTCAGACCTGGCTCACAGCTCTGTGGGTGCTCTGGAGCTACTTCCACAAAATCCTCCACTCCAGATCCCTGTAGGAGGGAGGAGAAGTTGAGAGCCACATGAGAAGCACTCCACTGGCCTGGGGCTGGGCCTTCAGCTGTCGGTCTGCTCTGCATCCTACAGAGAAGCTTTCTGGGAATGTGATGTCCCAGGACAGTGGTGTGAGGGGCCAGCATCACTGAAACCTGTCCTACCAGAACAGAACAAGCAGCTATGCCCCTGAATCCACCACCAGCTTCATAATAAAGCTCCCAACCAGAGTGCAAGCCTTCTGGGTGCAGCGGGAGGAGGGGTTTGCAAGTCCTAGGGTGTGGGTAGCACCGTGTTCCTTCCCAGATGTGTTGCTCTGCAGTGACATTGTCCTGAGACTCCAGCCCTGGTCTATTTAGTGCCTTCTTATTTACCTTACAGAGCTCTTCAGATAAAGCAAAAATCCCACATGCACAGCCTGATTTGGGAATTAAAAAAAAAGACCTAGTGCAATTCCATGTGCCATGAATTTGTTGTCCAACTCAAGGGAAGCTCTGTTGCCCCATCCTCCAAGGACTTTCAATTCAAGGGTTTATTTTTTTAAAAAAGCATGAGGGAGGGGCATTGGGAGAAATACTTCCATAAAGCCAGTAGCAAGTGGGATCATATCCAGAGGTAATGATTCCAGGATGTTATCTCTAAAAGCTGTTAAGGACCCAGAAGAGGCCAACTGTCCTCTGTTGTAGGGAAGCATCTAGTCGGGCCTCATAGTGCAGGGTGAGGAGTCAGAAACTCTCCTTATCAGAGCTACCCCTGACCCCAGCAAAGTGAACAAGCACAGGTGGGTGCCACAGTGTGTGTGTGGGGGGGGGCGATGAAATGGAGCATGAACCAGAAGACCCCTAGAGGCTAGTCCACATCCTGGATCTAACCACTACTTCTTGCCCTGGAGGTTACCCCAGAGCTCCAAGCTCCCAGATCCCCACATAGTGTCCTTCTGAAACATCTTTGTGAACACAGACTTGAGCCTCTAACTTTGTTTTGCTGTGGGTCCTGTGGCCTCCCAGAGCTCCCCGGTGATAGGATGAGGCATCGTTCTGCCCTGTCCACTGCACTTCCCTTCCTTTTCCTGACACTAGAGCCTGAACTGTAATCATCCTCAGGAGAGTCCCATACAAGGACTACATCCTGAGTGAGTTTCAAGGAGGGTTTTGTGTGACTTTCCACATTCCCCAGATGCTAACGTGTGCTAATTATTTGCTCTTCCCAGAGTCACTCTCCTGTTCTCTGTTCCATGCAAAGGTGGCCCCTATGGGCTGCCACCCTGAGGCTCCCTTGCCCCGAGTTCCAGTTCAGCCAGTGGAAGGAGAGACATGGGAAACACAGCCTGATTCCACATTTGCTCCCTGCTCCAGTACTGCATCTCTGGTGGTAACTGGGTTCCCATGACTCGCCCCAAGGCCCCTTCTCTCCAGCACCGACTCTCACCAGGCTTCCTGACCACATTCTTCCACTTTCTCCTTCAGTCCTAGGAGTAGTACTGGCTTCCTACAGTTGGTAGTCTACTCTACCAATCCCCCAACAACCGCTCTTTAATGTCCAGTGATGCTTTACCAAAGTTCACCAACTTCAATAGCTCCAAGAGTAAAGTGGATCCCTGAATTTGAGCAGCTGCTTAATGGAAGCAGGAAAGGCTCTGAGTATGTCTGAATCTGAGGTTGGGAGTGAGCACGGTGATCAGCTGCAGGGCTGGACGCAGACGGTCCCTTCTCTGTCCCAGCCTGTGTTAGATAGCCAGCTTGGGGGCCAGATGGCCAATTTTTTTTTCTCAAGCAGGAAATTTTGACTTCTCCATAAAACATCTTTATTTCTAAATGTATCGCAAGTTTATTAACCATTCTGTGGCTCTAGCAAAATCTGTCTGCAGGTCACCATCCACTAGCAGCTCCTGCTCTCGGGATGTTAGCTCAGTAGGCTCTGCCAGAACCTTTGTGTCTCTGCACCCTGACAGTTTTCTTTGCTGGAAATGACTTTTGCTGATTCTTTGCCTAAGCAAATTTCTGTTCCCTCAAGAATAGAATAATGTTTCTTTTTCTCTCTGAGGTTTCCCAAAGCCCCATGAGAAGATAGCCCCTCCATTCCCAAGGCAGCCAAAGCACTTCATGGAGAATTCTGTTGGTATGCTGGCCTCAGCCTGCTGAACTCTGTTCCTCCATCAATTGGTATGCACCCCAAGTCATCCTGTGCCCCATGTGGTGAGTTTCTCAAGGTCAAGAACATCTGTCCTACATAGCCCAGGCATCAAGGCCAACACCTGAGGTATGCTAGGTAAGGCAATATACAATAAAAAGACCATATATACTGGGATATATTTCTGATCCAGCTGAAGATAGTACATCAAAAGGCAGAAGATGGTGGAAATGAAAATACGGGGCTTTGTTTCAACCAACATGTGCTTCTGGAGGCCCAGCCCCCACACAGTCCTTGGTCATTGATAAGCGCTCCTCACCTGCTAACTATACCTCACCTGCCCAAGCCTTCCAAAGTGAACTCACTCTTACGAAACCCATAGAAACTGAGAGGCACCCCACACCTGTCACAGAACACTAACAAGCCTGCTTCCTCAAGAATGGTCAAATATCTGGGATGGTCAAAGTTGATTACAACAGAGGGAGCTATACAAAGACAATATTACTGTGCCGCATGGAAACAAAATCAATGTGAACTACCCAAATAATATCCTAAGACATTTCTCCAGAACAAAGTCTTTTACTACGAGAGCCACTCTATAAAACTGGTAA